TATAAGGGAAGTTTTGGCACCCCCTTTAAAGTAATGTTCAATTGTCTCACAGGTCATAGGAAAACCTTACCTTCCCCCGTACTGGGGCTTAGGCTACCATCTATGTCGATGGGGYTATGGAAGTCTGGAGAGAACTATTCAAGTAAATAGTAACATGCGTGCAAAGGGAATTCCTCAAGATGTACAGTGGAATGATATTGAATACATGCGAGGTAATTGCAGGTTAAGTAGTAATTGCAAGTTAAGCTGGGTACTTTAATTTCTCTTGAACTAGGTGCTTGACTACAAYACACTGCACATTCAGGATTTTATGTTGGCTAAATTTTTCTGATTTCTTTTCCTGTTTTCATAAATTTTCCTCTTCCATTATTTTCATTCCATTCATTTATCTTTATAKGATATATTCAATCATTCATCCATTCATTTACTTTTCTTATTTTTATTCATTTAGATTTGTTTTGTTTTTTTATTTAACTCCTTTCATTCTTCTTTAATTTTAGTTCATATCAATTCATTTATTTATCCTTTGTCGATTATTGTAGATCACCTTGATTTTACTGTGGATCCTTCTAAGTGGAATGGACTGGGAGATTTTGTAAAGAAAATCCAAAGTCAGTACAATCAACACTATATTCCCATCGTGGTGAGTATTTCAGCTTGGGAAGGAGCTCTTGTGAATGGAAAATGTAAGGGGGAGTATTTTTTCCCCTCCTCCCCTTTTGTTTGCCCCCTCCTCTCTCCTCTTAGAGCCACCACGCAGGCTTTTAGTACTTTGACAAAAACTACTGTTAAATGACTAGTTTAACTTTAAACTTATTTATTGTTGTTGGACAAGCGCAAACAGAATCGAATTGGACTAAAACAACATGAATTGGTTATTTAAGTCAATGAATTGTTCTTCAGGATCCTGGCATTAGTAATACCCAACCAAGTGGATCATACAAGCCATACAGTGATGGTTTGTCAATGGACGTGTTTGTAAAGACCACAGAAGGACAGCCACTAGTAGGACAGGTAAATATAGATGTATAAATACAGCAACGACGACGACAACTGCGACTTTGATTACAACAAAAGCAGTGAAAATAACAACCATTACAACGACAACATGGGCAGCGACAGTAATAGGAAAACGGAAGACCACGACACCAAAATTCTAGCAACGACTGCTATATATTACTTGCTACCACCAATAAGCAACAACAAAAAATCGACAACAGTGACRAAGACAACTATCATTTCACATAACAATGCCACAGAACAATCCCCTTGTATGCCTACGACGCTCGTAACACTAATCCATCTTTTKAAGGTTTGGCCAGGGAACACTGTATTCCCCGACTTCTTCAGCAAAAATGCACAGCAGTACTGGACAGAACAATTATCAGCATTTCACGACGAGGTACCTTTTGATGGACTCTGGATTGACATGAACGAGCCCTCAAACTTTGTGGAAGGGTCGACAAGTGGTTGTCCTGCATCAAAATGGGATAGTCCTCCTTACACTCCACATATCATTGGAAATACATTAAAGAGCAAGACGATATGTATGTCTGCCAATCAAAATGGATATCGACACTATGACGTACACAGTCTCTATGGTTATAGCGAGACTGTGGCAACAATGAAGTGAGTAAGAGGAGTGGTCACGTGATGATGTTCATTGCTTAATAGATGTCTTTGTATTTGTCAATTGTGTATGAAATATGAATTTCATATAATTCTTTGATTCAAGGGCTCTAGAAACTGTCCG